TGGTTGAGTCACCATCCCTGGAGGTATTTAAAAACGTGTGGATGTGGTACTCAGGGACATGGCTTAGTGGTGGACTTGGCAGTGTTAGGTTTACTGTTGGACTCGATGATCTTAAAGATCTTTTCCAACCTAAACGATTCTACGATTCTACAAACACTAGCAAACGCTGTTGCAAAAGTCATCATTATACGGTGCTTTAGTTTATTTTAATTTTTACTCCTTTTAATAAAGGTGTCGTATTAATTTTCTACCTTAATCACAAACTGCTATCACTACTTCCCAGTAAGAGGTTGCAACCTGACTGCAAACATTCCGCCAAACTTCGGGCTTCACCTCTCTGGGCAGATCAGGTCATGGAATGTGCCTTGTGTCATGCACTCACTGTCATAACCTTCCTGGAAATTTTTGTTTTCCTGGTCTTTCTGCATATGCACATTTGTTCCTTTTATCCACATCCGAACTGTGAAACTCTGGCGCACTGCCCCGCTCCACGTGCAGACCCAAAGCTGCACCCTGACTGCGACCCCTCCATGCACCTCCCACCCTCACTCTTCACACACCGATTAACCCTAAGAGCTCTAGATGGTAAGCACATAAGCAGGTAAACAATAAATTATGATGCACTCCAACTCCTCAAAAAGGGTGATGACACTAGGACTACAAGCACACAATGATGTGTACTTACTGTCCATTTAGATACAGTCTTCAGCTCCATCTGCTTTCCTAATTCTTGATAGCCTATTCAGTGCTCCCCTCAAAGTGAAATTGCTGAATTTAATTTAGAAAAATCTCAGATGATGGAAAGACTATTTACAATCACCGCTTTCCAGGAGGCTGATCTTAACCTACTTATGGGTCTTACATCAGGTATAAAATCTAGTCTTAATTACATATTTGACATTGACTTATAGAAGAAGGTGGAAGGGCAGAGGTTCAGTAGCATTTGTAGAAGTTTTAGTCATCTCCCTTACACTGAAAGCAGAGAGCAAAAGCTCCATAAATAAACTCCCTATACTGGATGACCTTCTGATAATCAGATACATCATTTCCACTAAGCCCAAAAACCACTCACTCGCCAAGATGTAAGATAATGGAAAAACAAGCCAGATGACTTCAGGTAACAAGCTTCGAATACCAATAGCTTTTCTTTTGTTATTTGTGTCCCATTAAATCAGCTTGTGATAAAGAACTGCAATGGAGTGGAATAAATTCCTGAACCCTTTAAGCAGGGAGAAGCTTGAAACAGGAAGTTCTTAAGGCTTCTTCTTAAGTACATAAATATATCACACTGCTACATCTGCCATAGCTCTATGCCCCATGTATATTGGTAAGAAAGTGGCACCACCTTTTGGTAGAATATTGACAAGACTTGAAAAATACTTGGAGTGCTTATGAGATAGTGAACTATGAAATTAAGAGCTAAAATGAAAACATGATGGTATCCTCTACAAAACACAACAATAAAACGGAAGTGCTGTCTATAATATGCGGAAGTAAAAAGTTGCACTATGACTTATTTCAGCTGCACCAGTCAATTTTTGTCATCTCATTTACAGATAATAATTAATTACTTAACTTAAATAGTACATCCAACTCATGGAGTCCCCATCTGACCAGATACAATCAACTTGCAAATCATTCTGTAAAGAGTTTATCCACGTAGCAGGTTGAATACATGCCAAATATAGACACACCTGTGCAAAGGCAGTTCTGTCTGACTTGGAATATTCACTCAACTGCAGGGGAAATTTCAGCCACTTTGCTTCCAGTTCAGCAGCTTATGGCATGAAACCTGAGCTAACAAATCCTACTAGATCTAAAGTAGCTTCGCTGCTAACTGTGTTTTCCTTATGTTGCACTCCCTGAAGTCTAAGTGCTAAGGAGCAAAGCACAAAAGCTGTCAGGGTTAGCCTTGGTCCAACATTGACCCCGTAGCAGTGAACAGCTTGACCCCTGCTGAAGACACTACAGAGTGACTTGGCATTCCCTCCTCCCCTTTCATCCTCCCATCCTGCTCGCTGGCTTGGGTGCTATGCTGCTCTATAATCCCTGGATGTTTCAGTACATTGGTAGGTAGCATTCTGCAAACAAATCACTGTGAAAGGAAGAATTCTGTGAAACCCAATATAGAGTCACAGACTCAGCTCAGGACTAACTGTGTTTGTTAATTCCAGCTTTGCACAAATTCTGCCAATTCACCTGGCTCCAGTCAGAGCAGTTGTCCCAGGTGCCTGGGACTGATGACTTTTTGCCATAACTTATCCTCCACGTACCCCCATTGGAGGAATGACTGTTAAGAGAGAGTAATCTCACAACTTTAAATACTGATTTGTTTATATATAAACATTGATAATTTGATAATGTGTTACCTACATGGCAACATGTTATTTAAATATGCATAAAATAAATACACAATTATTTTGTACTTTAAAAGGTTACACTTCACAAAACTGAAACCATTGTATGATGACTGAAAAGAAGTGAAGAAATTCAAGAAAAAATGTGAATAGTAAATTAAGATCATTTTATCACATATACTAAGAGCACAAAGAAAGCTGCAGAAGTAAAAAGTAAAAAAAAAAAGCAAGCATTGAGTTTGTAAATCAACAGTTCACATTTTTCTAAAAAAAAAAAGTGTCTACTTTCTAACAGGAATCAATTAAGGAAGAAAGTCCTACAGCCTATGTTACATTGGAGAATAAATTAGATGATCACAGCATTCCCATCCTCTTATAATCCATGATTCTATTTAACTAAAATAATGGAGATTTCAGATAATCATTTACAAGATCAACTCATACTATTTCACTGCATTATGAAGTATTTTCCTCAGAAACTAAAATGACCAACATTATGCTTTGCAAAGTTCAAAGTGTCAAAGAATTTTTCAGTACTTAATGAGTTATAACTACCTTACTTGACAATAATTCTTGTCTTTTACATCCTGAAACGTAAGATCAAGTAATTTTCATAATGGCTAGCACATTTTTCTATCCTGAATTCCACATAATGCAAGCACAGTTAGAAACATTACTATTAGAAACATCACTGAAACAGGTTTTTATTTAGCTACATTTTGAATCACACTATTAGGATGCGCTAAGCAGATACAAATTGCAATTGAGGATAACAACAGAAAACAATTTGGCTTCCTCTACCAGCCAAAACAGAATACTTTGTCTAATAGTGAATCTGTAGTGACAATGCACACACACACACTTTTTTTTTGGCTGAATTTTTTGTTTCATAACATCAGAAAAAAATTCCCCTTTAATAATGGGGATCCCACTACCAGAAACAACATAAGAGAAACAGAATTTAAAAAGAAATCTTAACCGAACAGATTTTACTTTTCTATCTTTTGAAATTATGCTTAACATTTCCAATCTTTAAAAAGAATTGGGAAGCATGTTAACCTTACTATAAGTTTGGGGTTTTTTGTGCCTGTTTGTTTAAATCTTAGAAAAGAAAATGTGGTTTTATGTAAAATTATTAAGCAGGTCTGTCTAATGTGATGTTTATAAACTTTTAGTGCTTCACAGTGTTCATATTTTTGTTTCCCAAACAGTTTCAAATATCCCAAACAGCTGATTTATAATCTTCCATTTCAAATGCTTAGATTTGCTACAACATTTGTAAATATTTTTCCCCACCATTTCTGACCATTGAAGAAAGAAGAAGAATTACCCCTTCAGGATTATATTTTGCTAACACACCACTGCCATGGAACTCTTCTAAGACGTCCTTAATTTTCTTGGTGGAATCTGGATGAAGAATAAAGAGAGAGAAAATGAAAATACAGAAAACTGATTTACATAATATGAACTGTAATTAACAACCAAACTGCTAATAGCTTTTCTGAATGCACATTAGTAATTTTCTCTAGCTGTATGAGAGCTGTGAGCACAAAGAAAATGAGAACGTACTGTACCCTCTCACCAAATACTGTAAAGATCAGCAAGTAAACACAAAACGCTCAGAAATAAACACTCTTTAACTCAATCCTTAACTATCAAGCAGTATATTTCTGAAGGAGTTGTTTGCAAGGACTATTTCAAGTCACTTTTCTTGTCCTTGAAACTTGAGTCATCTACGGAACATGGTCATTCCCAACAGTGCTACTAAATCTCCTCTGGCATAGCTGCCTGTGAGTAGAGGAACTGTCAGAAGAGCCTGACAATATCAAGATAAAGGGGAAACTTGAAGAGAAAAAAACTTTTTCTGCAGTCACATCACAGAAAAGAAATGTTGCTATCGAAACCTCAATGTTTGCAGACCTCTAAGATATTCTAGCCGCTGGCAGCTACAGTAACTTTAGGAATACTTTTGTCTAACAGAATTGTGCAAATCCCTACAGTTCAGAAGCACATAGGTGTAACCTTTCCAACTTGTTTTTAATTGTCTATTTGCAGAATAACAGAACAGTTATTTCAATAAGTAGCCACTACATAAAACCCTTAAACTCAGATTCACTTAGAATACACCATGCACATAACCATCTTTTATATATCTCAGCAATACAACAAAAATAATTGTAACTCAATTTTTTCTCTAAAATGCAGTAGTTGCGTGCGTAATGGTCAAATGTGCATAATGGCCACAACACTGAAGTAAACCATGAACTAGTAATGAGTAGCAGATGCATTACAGAAGAAAACAGGTAAACGTAATGGCTGCACATTTATTTCTACAACAAAACCTGGAAGGAAAGAAGACAAGCAAAGAGTGGACCAAGAAGAGGACTATCACATGAGCAATTAGTTAGACACTTAAAATTACAAACATTAGGACCTAGTCTTACTGATTTTTTAATTATATCAACCAAATATAGCATTGTAATAGTTCTTAAAAGTTAAAGAAATTCAGCACCTTAAACCTGACTCTAAAAAAGTATATTTAGTAAATTATGTGACCTGGAAGGAGAAAATGTAGCAGCAAAGGATTTGAAAAATAGCTTTGTAACAGTTCATAACAGCTATAAACAGGACACACCAGTAAAATTCAGTTTTAAGAGGTGCTAGAGGAGTTATTCCCCCACCCCCACATGCAGTTTAGATTGTAGTAAGAATGGCTTTTCCCAATATTTGTCATTTTATGAAATTTTCTTAAATGAAAACACACAAGACTATGTGTGGCCTCAAACTAATAAAATTAGTTTATTTTCACTAATCGGATGTATTTCAATGGTACTGCCAACTGTAATTAACAGTGTTTAGCTGGTCTCACAGGCAGTCACAGTAAACATTTACTTGATAAAGTAAACTATAGTCTTATTGCTGTGTCATTTGAAATAGAGCAAATAATTACAACTTTATGTGAAAAAGACAAAAAAGTATAAAAAAGAATAAATCAATATGTTAAGAAATAAATTTTATCAAGAACTATAATTAGAAGCTGATGGGTTAGATATGTACTGACTAGGACATATACACAGGTTGATTGACAAATATCTTTTTTACTTGATCTCTATTATTTAAATATGTTTTCCAGTAGCCATACACAAGGTTGTACACAAAAATCATTGCAACTTATGATAATGAAATCAATAATCATGACAGTGGCAGCGTAAGATAAGCAGATACATGACAGAGGTGACTGAACCTCATCCTAAAAAATTATTGTTCTGAACTTTGGAGGACAGAGGTTAAACACACATCAAACAGAAAGACAGCAAGGTCTCCCCACACACCTTTTATTATACAGAGAAAATAATAAGTAAATAAATAAAATAGAAATGGCCCACTTTCTAGCAGTTTTACAACAGTGTCTTGAGGTTTTCTCCCAGCAATGACCATGCTTCTTTCATTTCATATTTTGCCAGATAAATTCTATTCAACTTTAAATGAGTATTAAGCCTATGCAACTGTAATTAAAACAAAAAACTGTTATGTTGCTTATTAAAAATAAATTAAATCTTTGCTTTTAATTTTGTTCATATTCACCTTAGTCAAGTATCATTAAGATAGAAACTATTCTCTATTCCAGCAACAACACAACTATTAATGGTTTTGTGCATGAGCTTAATGCAGTCACATCCGAAAAGCATAGCTAATTCCATACTTGAAATAACTGTCAAGAAAAAAGGGTCTGTGGATATAAATTCTGCTTTGTTTGTCCCAGCAAAACTCTTGCAAGAGGTTTCCACATTCTGGACAGGAGACCTTTTGAGATCTTTTAAAATACTATGAAATGACATACTGATATTTTAAGTCAAACGCCAACTGAAATCTTCTGCATGCATACTCTTCAACAGTGCTAACATTCCTCAGAAAAATTAATTCTCCTTCCTCAGCCTCTAGTAGGCAAACTAGTATTAGAAACATGTTCCATCTTTAATACGTTGACCTAAAAGGATATGAAGACTAGGATAATTTTCAAGTTTCACTCTTATTTGGGGATCACATTCAAATATAACAAAGGAAAAAAAAAAGAAAAAAAAAGAAGAAATACAAGAGGCATTGTCTTGGAAAGCTCTATGCCAATAAAAATGAGAAACTCCAATAAAATACTCTCAATTCTACTTTAAAAAAAAAAAATCAAGTAAATGCTTTCCATCAAAAATAGACAAAGATTTCCAGAAATTATACACAGAAGTAACTAGGAAGTTTTCCTAACTTTTTTTCCTAAGTTTCCTAACTAGGAAATAACAACAGTGCTATGGGTTCCATTACAGTTTATGTAGTCGGATCCAAATCATCTACATACTGACTGGAAAATGGTAGTGTAAACACAAGCATCAAACCAGAACCTGTGTTCTCACTGTTACCTCCAAGTACAGGTGTTCTGCATAACTTAGCAACTTACTGCTTTGTGAGCAGTCTCAGTAAATTAATAAGCACCACTCGTGTTAAAATACAAATATGGTCTTAAACTCTGTTCGATAACTCTTATCTGTCTTTTAAATCAAGGACAAATTCCTTCTTTGCCTAAGTCTCTGTATTCCAAGCTCTCCTCAAGAGAGACAGTTTCTAAATATGTGTAGATATAGCACATAGCGTGTCACTGTTGTGCTTAAATCCCACCTTATCCGCAAAGCTATAGCTGGCACAGTATGAATTTCAGGTAGCTTTAAATATGAAATTTGTTTCATGAAACATATCCCTTTCCTTTGCTCTCACAATTTTATTATTTTTATTACCCACTAGCCCAGTGCTTTAGGCATTCTCTCAAAATACGGAAGACCTTCAATTCTCTCCTCTGCCTGAATGGATTTAAACCCCTATTGTTCAATCCATCTTCTGTTGCAATTTGGATAGAATGCAGCAGTGTTCATTTAGCCAAGGGGGTGGAAGGAGAAAAAGGGAAACTGTGGCCCAGGAATCAGAGCTTTCCTTGGATGAGGTGAGACGTGGTTTTCCACCTCATGCTCCAGTGAGTTTGAGGCAGAACAAACAGGCTAGGCATGGTGTGGAAGACTGCTAACTGAAAAGCTATTACTACTGCATGGGAGAAAAGTAGCTGGATTTCACACAGTGCTACAGAAATTTTATTGTAAAATAAAGACTCCAAAACAATAGATATCTAGATGAGACTTGGGCTAATGTTGTATTGTTTCAGAATAAAGGCAAAACAATTAAAATCATGACACTAGAAATATGAAACCTGCATATGTAACAGTAAAAGTGCCAAAGTGTCTGATTTTTCCTTAACTGTCTTTCAGTCCTAACAAAGATACTTTTTATAACTGAAGACAAATTTAAATGCTAAGTTCAAAACCATTTAAGATTCAGCCCACATTAAAAATTATGATTCATTTTTTAAAATGACTCAACTTTAGATGAGGAAGATTGAGCACTCAGTTGAGACTGGAATTTGGTGTATCATTTCTCCCATAATCAGAAAACACAAAACAGAAGGAAAGCTTGCCCAGATCACACACTTTGTCTACATTTTCTCCCCATCCTCCCAGAAAAATTATTGAAAAGGATTTTTTCTTGAAAAAAAAAAAAAAAAGACATAAGAAAACTTATATAAAACTCAGCATAAATCACATGCTATATACACAAAACCGTTTGGCAACTTAAAGGGAAATAAGCACTAGAAAACTGACTGGATTATGAGTAATTCCCTTATAAATCCACATATGTTTTTCAATCTCAACAAAAATTCGTAATAGCCTGCATACCTTCTTGGACTGTAACTAATTTTAACACCCACAATAAAAAGTAGAGTAATAACCACTTTCTACCTCTATTTCCCTTTTGTAAACTTTATACAATATGAAAAATATCACAGGCATCCAAAGTCCTACCATCATCAAGTTCAGAATTTATAGAAGCTGCAAAGTTATTTTCTATACATCTTATTATGACTGAGGAAAACAAAAGGTGCAACCTTCAATACACAGTTTTCTGCACGCCAACAAAGCCTAGCTCAAACTCAAAAGCCCTGCTTGACAGATAAACCAATGAGAAGCATGAGGAAAAACCCAGCACTCAGCTGATATCACAATTTTTATACACGTTCTTATTCTTCTATGGATTTTTCTTTCTTTTGTGGATGCAACCATACAAAAATGTGTGTGTATATAAATTTATACACGTAGCTTTTTTTCCTTTCGCATAATTTATTTTATTCAGAGAACTGGATAATGCTTTTGCTCAAGCTATAGCTATGCTTAATCTAAAGTCTTATTGGTCTAGAAATATCAGTATGTTAAAAAGGCCAAGCTTGCCAACAAACCTGTAAGCAGCACCAAAGGGTAAAAACTGTTCACCTTCCAACAAAAAAGGTTGTTCCAGTAAAAACACGGTTTACCTAGTAT